CGCAGAACATTGGGAACTATTGTCCAAGGCCCTCGTACTGGGTAAAGATTAAATAAGACAAGCTAAAAACCATCCAAGCTCAAAACATGGTGGAAGAGTCGAGGCACGAGGAAAACGCATTAATCAAAATTTATTACAATACATGCCACATTAAAATGTCCAACCGAGACCCGGAAAGCCTGCAAGGCGATGTAATGAACTCGTAAGACCGCGGTGGTGTCAAGGCCAAGAAAAGCTTTACTAAGAGCTTGAAGTTTAAGACAGGATTCCAGGACTGAATAGGCAGTTTGTGGCAGATAAAAAAGGGAAAAACGAGGGTGACAACATGACAGATTTAGGAACAGCCAGCTTTCCTGTTAAAAGAGCAAAGTGACCAAAGGAAACATCAGTTTAAGTCCTTTAATAATAATAAGATTTTTGTATTAATTATATGTTGAAATTTATTGAGAGTTTGATCATTGTGGAGACCCTGAAGTGGTAGCATTACACATTACATGTAAATCCTGCAATGCATAGTTCCTGTTTTATAAAGCAAACGGAAGCACAAGAAGTGATCTGTTGGAACTAACTCTACAAGAAATGCCAGAACCTGAATCACCTCATACCAAAACCACTAGTTAGTAATATTCCCAAATACCTCTAGTGGCTTAGTGCATTACCAGAGATTTCATTCCTGCCTATGAAACCCAACCTGCGTAATTACATATTTTCCTGGTGTTGATTTTGGGTAAGGAATTTCCCACATTTGTTTTCATATTGACTCACTCAACCACTTGCAACATTGAAATACCTTCGTTGCTTTTTCTGAGGCCCCTGGTGTAAATGTGAACAACGTGTCCTGCCTCTGGAACTTGCATTCTGGGGAGGAAAGCATTTAATCAGGGCAGCTTTGAGGTATATTGAAGGAGAGGCAAGGGACTGATAGAAAATAAGCATGCTATTTTGAGGTGATAACGCTCTGAGACAATGGCATTTAAACAGAAACCTAAAATCGGGAAGCACCTGACAATACCAAGTTGGAAGACAAAAACAGCCCAGATAGAAAATAAAAAACATCTCCAGCAAATTAAAACGTGCTTTGGAGTTTTGATGTGTGTGAAGCTTAAAGAAAACCTACATATGGATCACAGTGAGCAAACAAAATGTGGCATCACATAGAAGAATGTGAAGAGTCTTTCAGTTTTTGTTTGTGTGTTTAAAAGGCAGAAGGCATGCAGGCATGCGTCTGTCCACTATTACACTCTCCCAAAGGGTTACAGTAGCTAGGCCTGAACCAGGCCGAAGCTAGGAGCTAGGCATTCCATCCAGGTCTCTCATGTGGGTCACAAGAACCCACATATTTGAGCCATCTTGTGCTGCCTCCTAGGTACATTAACAGGAGCACGGTTGGGATGCCAGGTGGGACTCCATCCCAGGAACTTTGATATGCGATGCCTGAGTCCAAGGTGACTAGCTTAATGGCCTGCTTCATGATGATGATATACATTTAAAAATTTATATATTTCTTTTTTTATTAAAAAAGGCAGATTTGCAGAAAGAAGGAGAAAAAAAGAAAGAGCTCTCTATCCACTGGTTCATTCCTCAAATGGCCTCAATGGCCAGGAATGTGCCAGGCTGAAGTCAGGAGCCTGGAGCTTCCTCTGGGTCTCCCATGTAGGTACAACAATCCAAGCACTTGAGCCATCCTCCCCTGCCTTCCCAGGCCATAAACAGGCAACTGGATAAGAAGTGGAGCAGCAACTAACCAGTGCAGCAGGTGACAAAATCATCCTGGGCCAAGGACCCACTGGTGTGTGTGAGAACTGCCACTGGAAGGAGCTTGGGAAACTCCTTCATCAGGATGCAGTCCCTGCAGTAAAAAAGGCAGAGCAATGGACACAGACCCTGATGTAAAAGAATATGGCAGCTCATTTGGTGCTTTGGCAGAAGGAGAAGAGCAGAACATACTGGACAACTACCCCAAACAATGATAGCAAAAAAATCTCAGTGAATGGAAATTTGAGGTTATGTCAGTCAATGGACATTGGGAAGGCTGCATCCTTGGATCGGTAAAATCAACAGCATTTCTGAACTATCCAAACCACTTGGGCAGAACCCTCAGAATATGTACATACTGAGACTCTGCGTTGATATGAGGTGGCAGTTCCTCATCCCTGGGTACTGGGATGTTTGGAAAGTCATGTGTGGCTTCCCCCTTTGTCTCTCCCCATCCTCCAGAAAAAACAAGAAGAAATAGCAAATTTGGAAACAATGAGTTCACCTGATTTTCCCTAAACCTCAATTTTTCCCACCCTGGTCAACCATGTAACTATTATTTTAAAAGTCTAAAAGTAGAGCAGCAGGGACACAATCTGGAAGCTATAGGGAATGGCAGTACTGTAGGCAAAAGCTTAGCCTACCAAGCTGTGGTGCCCAGCACTTGTGGGGTATTCATTTTTAAGTTTAGTGGGAAAATAAGGCCTTAAACAAGGAAATGACAAGGTGTAAGATTTACCATCAACTCTGCTGTTCAGTATTGATAATTTAAGGGAAGAAGAAAGAAATCTTATTTAATGAGGACCTGTGCAATCATTACTTTGTGTTGAGACCCCAAATGGTTTCCAAATATTTAGCCATTTAATGTTCATATGATCCATGCAAATATGATGATTGTCAACCCCATTTCTTTTTTTATACAGGGAAACTGAGACCAGGTCAAGCACTTGTCCAAAGTGAACCAGCTAGTAAATGACAGAGCCAAAGTTTAAATCCATAGAAGAATGTTAAGGGAGACAAAGGGGGTAGAAATAGTGGGGATGAAGATAAGTAGGCAAATTCACGGTTTCATTCACTGATAGAAAAAGGAAACAGAAGAATCTGAGCAATTAGGGCAGTGGTGGTGCCATGTTAAGGAGGTGTGGAAGACTGGGTAGGGAATGGAAGTTGGAGATCTAGCAATCTCACTTCTTGATGTTATTTATAAAAATAGAAATTTTAACTTTATGCAAAGAAAGTTAAATTTAATAAAATCACTTTATCAACATTCCTAGGAGAAATTCATTATTTATCTCTTTTTTAAGATTTATTTATTTATTTGGAAAGTCAGATATAGAGAGAGGAGGATAAAAAGGAAGATCTTCCATCCATTGACTCACTCCCCAAGTGATCGCAACGGCCGGCCGATGCTGCGCCAATCCAAAGCCAGGAGCCAGGAATTTCTTTTAGGTTGCCCACGCCAGTGCAGGGTCCCAAGTCTGTGGGCCGTCCTCGACTGCTTTCCCAGGCCATAAGCAGGAAGCTGGATGGGAAGCAGGGCTGCTGGGACACAAACTGGCACCCGCATGGGATCCTGGTGTGTGCAAAGCTAGGACTTTAGCCACTAAATTGCTCCACCAGGCCCATTTTACTCCAACCTTCTTTTTAAATTAGTACATAGTATTGGACCCAGATTCTGTAGCCTTCGTAACTCTATGATTCTGATGTTTATTCAGATATAGAACCATTGTCTCACTATCTTTTTTTTTTTTGTTAAGATGTATTTATTTTTATTGGAAAGCAGATATACAGAGGGAAAGAAAAAGACACAGATCTTGCATCCACTGGTGTACTTACCTAATGGCCAAAATGGCCAGAGCTGAGTTGATTCAAACCAGAGCTGGGAGCTTTTCTAGTTCTCCCACATGTGGAAGATTTGGGGGAATCTCCTGGCTCCTGGCTTTGGACTGGTTCAGCTCTGGTCACTTGGGGAATGAATCAGTGGATGGAAGATCTTCCTCTTTGTCTTTCCTTCTCTCTGTGAATCTGCCTTTCCAAAAGAAATAAATAAATCATAAAAAAAAAGAAGGGAAAAGAAAAGAAATTAGTGGTTCATCTTTAAATTGTAAATTATCCCCAGGGATGCATATTCCATATTAACAATTCCATGTTAGCTCTATACTCCCTAGGGGCACAGTTTTGATCTTGTACTTCCAGGGATTTACACATAATCTAGGTTTTTACTATCCATGTTTTAAATGATGCCTAAATACCTGTATAATGAACATGAATATAAATAACCACCCCCTCATATTTTTGTACAATTCAATGTATGCATACTTCTATGCTTTTATAAAGCTATAAATGTATTTAGCCTTTCTATTTAGCACTGTTCAATATTATGTCACTCATTGTCAAAAGCCAGAATGTTGACAACTTTAAAGATCCAATCGGCTTTTTTTTTTAAAGCAATTCATAAGTTGGACAGCATCCCACTCGTGAAACAGAAAGGCGTTCTCACGGACTTCAGCAGAGGGATTGGCTAGATGGGCAAAAAAGGGAAAGTGAAAGCGGCAATAAGGAACAAAAAGAGGACTAGTCACCCCAGTTATTTCTCCAGAGGGTTAAAACAAAGGAGATGGCTTATCATGCTTTCTCAGGTAGACCGTGTCCTTTCTGATTGGTTGCTGTGAATCTCCTGTTAAAGTTGTTTGGTTAAATGATACCTAGGATCAGTGACTCCACACAATGGACCCACTTAGTTCTTTTCACACCACTGATATATTTTTAGGTCCTATGTCCAAATCACCCCCACTGTTGTCAAACAGTTTAAGAAAGGAACCTGAGGTATACACCATTTGCAACTTTTGGAGGGGTCCAAAGGTGCTGTGCACATTGACTTGCTTAACCAACTTGCGCTATTTAGTAAGAAAAGAACTGTGGGCTCAGCGACAAACTTGGGTTGTGCCTCTCTGTAGGCACGAATCGTGTCCTCGCCTACTTTTTATCAGCTTTCTGATGGCAAAACAAACAAACAAAAAAGTTTCAGAGTTGTTACGGAATGGAAGGAATTGCATTATTAGCCGCATTTGTCCCGGCAATGCAGACAGGGAGGTAGTGAGCCGGCTCCTCCAGCCCACTCCGTTGCGCCCAGCTTCCAGCCCGCCGCACTCGCCAGGCAAACCTTCCCGGAGCTGCTGGAGCGCGCGACGGCCATCTTTGTGCGGGGCGGCCGGCGCCCGCGTGCTTGCCGCGCCCACGGCCATCCTTGTGCGGGGCGCTTCCGCACGCGCCGCCGCGGGGATCCCGCAGTCGGGCCGCTGGCCATGGAGCGGCGGCTGAGCTCGCCGCTTCGGCTCTGGCTGCTGCTGCTACTCTTGTCCCCGGGACAGGGCCGCCAGAAGGAGTCAGGTGGGCTCCCTGGTGCTGGGGCTCGGGATCTGGAGGCGGGCAGGAAGCGCTCTACGGCGCCACGGTGCCCTGGAGAAGGATGCTGTGGCCTCTGCAGCGCAGAGCTGCGCGGTGGGCGCCGGGCGTCTGGGAGCTTGGACTGAGGATGTGTGGGGGTCTCAGCCGCTGCCCTGCAGAGGAACCCGGCCTCCTGAATTTGGAGTGAGAAGGAGAGGGGCATTCCCCCTGTTCACCTCCCTGGGCTCCCTAAATCTTACTGGGGTAGGGAGCAGAATGTGTCTGTGCATTTACCGGTGCGTGTGTTGTGGGAGGACATGAGCAGTGGGTTAATGTATGGCCTTTGCTTACAACTCTTGATGAGGCTCAGGAGGAGAAGATGAGAATCTGCGTCACGATCAGGCATTAGGCTTGCGAGTCTTCCCAATGCTTGGACACCTGATGGTCCAGGTGGAGGAGTGGACTTAACCAGAACTGTGAGGAGTTATAGAGGGAATTCTCCTGGGCCATTCCTTCCCACTAATGCTATGGGAAGGGAATTCTTGGAGATCTTCTGTTGATTCTTTCCTCGGTGTACCTGCATGCCCAGGGATGTTTGGTTAACTCTCCTTTACTTCTCTCTTTGAAGGTTCAAAATGGAAAGTGTTCATTGATCAGATTAACAGGTCTTTGGAGAATTATGAACCATGTTCAAGTGAGAACTGCAGCTGCTACCGTGGGTGAGTTCTCTCATGTGTCCTTGTCACCAGGAGCCAAGCAGAAAGGTGGATCAGATGCTTCCTAGGATAGGACAGGCCATGATAATCGAGCATAAACCCTTGAGGGATTCAGCTCATGTGCTTGGAGGTCACCTGAGCTTCTTGAGGTCAGGGTCTCTGTTGTGATGTCCCTGGGGCTGATCCTCAGTGAGTACTCTATGGATGTTATGGAATGAACATACTGATCAGTGAATCTCATCCATTTTGCTTGTTGGTTATCTTTAGAGCACCAACTGAGGGCTGGGCAGTTCTTAGAGGACTTGGGAAGCAGGCTTGAGTTCTCTCACTCATTGTCCTTGTGGCTTACCCTGGTGGCAAACCACTTCTCTGGATCACAGGCTCCTCCTCAGTTAAGCAACAGGCTTCTTGTAGTTCCAGATGGTGTTATCTGACTCCACCTTATGCTTGTGATGATTCCTGAAATCTTTCCATGTGCCAAACCTTAAAAGGGGTACAGAAATCAGTCATGTCCTTTCTCGTCATTGGAGCCTGGTGGGGGTGTGCCAGACAGACCACAACTAGGGGATCAGGTAGTGTTGGGTTGGGAGCATCCCTTTCCTTGCAGAGAAGGGGAAGGCAGTGGGACTGTGGAGAGTGGGTGTGCAGGAATGGCTGAGTAGCAAGGAGGAAAAAGAATCACCGAGGAAGATTGGAGGGAGGCAAGATACGGCTTTTTATGTTCTGTGGCCTTCTTGTGTTTGATGTTTTAGGCAGCTGTGGTGCTCATCCCAGCCCATTCGCCCACCTGATGGTAGCCCCTAATATTGAGCTTAAATGTGCCCTGCCTTACTTGATGATCTGCATTCTTTCTCAGTGTCATTGAAGAGGATCTGACACCTTTCCGAGGAGGTATCTCCAGGAAGATGATGGCTGAAGTAGTCCAGCGGAAGCTCGGGACCCACTATCAGATCATTCAGAACAGGTTATACCGGGAAAATGACTGCTTGTTCCCCTCCAGGTAAGAGTTGTGACCTAGATAGATCTTCTGACCTTACTGCTTCCTCATACAGACTGCAAAGGGCTACAGGCTCAGGGCTGGAAAGCAGAACTTTCCTCCTGATACAGGGACATACAAGGGAGCTCTTGCCTGGGGCTCCCTCTTCTAGTTGCTCCATCGAAGGCTGTCCTTTCCCTTGTCCCCACCCTTTTCTTGAGGCTAGGCACATCACCAGGCCTACAGGCTACAGTTTGAGCTGTGAGAAAACAGACGCAGTGTATTCTGAGTATCTGTCATACGCTTGATATTATTTTAATGCTTTTAAATTATTTATTTATTTTAAAAATGTATTTGTTTTTATTGGAAAGTCAGATATACAGAGAGGAAGATCTTCCGTCTGATGATTCACTCCCCAACCGGCTGTAATGGCTAGAGATGAGCCAATCTGCAGCCAGAAGCCCAGAGCTTCTCTGGGTCTCCCACACGGGTGCAGGTATCCAAGGCTTTGGGCCATTCTTGATTGCTTTCCCAGGCCACCAGCAGGGAGCTGGATGGGAAGTGGGGCTACCAGGATTAGAACCGGTACCCATAGGGGATCCTGGTGCATTCAAGGTGAGGATTTTAGCCTCTAAGCTGTCATGCTGGGCCCTACAATTTTTATTTGAAAGGGAGAGCAACAGACAGAAACTGTAATAATGAAAAAGAGAGGACAAATTTTTATATCCACTGGTTCACTCCTCAAGTGCCCATAACATCCAGGGCTGAGCCAGGCCAACGGCCAGGTTGGCATATAATCCAGGGCTCCTATTTGGGTGGCAGCAGACCGAGTACTAGAGCTATAATCTACTGCCTGCTAGGATACACAGCATCAGGAAGCTGAAATTGGATATCTTAAATGGTATCTTAATCAGTAAGCTAATCAATCGCTGACCCCTATTATTTCACTTTATTTATAAGATTTATTTATTTGAAAGGCAGAATGGCAGAGCAGAAGGATAGAGAAGGAGAGAGAGAACGATCTTGCATCTGGTGGTTCATTCCATAAACGTCTGCCATGGCCACAGGTTTGTGCCAGACTGAAACCAGAAGCCAGGAGCTCCATCTGGGTGTCCCATGTGGCTGGACTGGAAACAGCAGTCTGATATAGCAGGCCAGTGTCGCAAGTTGTAGCTTCACCGACCGTGCTGTAACACTGGCCTTATTTGTCTCTGATAGCAACTTTACTTAAAAGTAATACACGTTTACTGTCAAAAATATGTAAAAATAAAATATCGTGGAAATCACTTAATATCCCACAACCCTGAGAAAATCAGTGGTCAAGGAGAAATAAGGTTGTAGTATGGAAAAGTCCTGAGGAATTTTTTTTTAAAGATATTTTTATTATTTTTTTATTGGAAAGGCAGATATACAGAGAGGAGAGACAGAGAGGAAGATCTTCTGTCCAATGATTCACTCCCCAAGTGAGTGCAACGGGCTGATACTATGCCGATCCAAAGCCAGGTCTCCCACGCGGGTGCAGGTTCCCAAAGCTTTGGGCCATCCTCGACTGCTTTCCCAGGCCACAGGCAGGGAGCTGGAAGGGAAGCGGGGCTGCCGGGATTAGAACCGGCGACCATATGGGATCCCGGGCATGCAAGGCGAGGACCTTTAACCACTTGCGCCACCGCGCCGGGCCCATGTCCTGAGGAATTTTGAACAAGAGTTAGTTTCACTATTGGTCCAACGACGGAGGCTTTAAATATAGAATGTGAGCATAAGATTTTTAATTTCTACAAATGAGAGATGAGATAGGAATGTAGATGCTCTCTGAAACTTTGAACTTTGAAAGCGTAACCAATGTTTGATACTTTGCTAAACAATTTCCTAATGAAATTATATACTTTCAAATGGCTGAAAGTCATATATTTCTTACTTCTGTTTTCAGTGCATTTTAGTCAAAATCATGCTCTCAGAAATGTTCTGAAGGGAGCCCAGTATCTTTCTTGGACAATAAAATACTCTTCATTTCCAGTGACATGGAAAGTTCCCCTGTCCTAACTACAAACACAATTAGGCAAAGCAAAGATAGACAAAACACAAATAGAAATATTCCAGACCGTTGTCCTTAATGAAATGAACAGTTGTATATCACAGAGTGCTAACTAGCCTCAAATGCCTTCTTTCAAGGCCTAGTTTTCTTTTTAAATTTATTTTTGTTGGAAAGACAGTTCAGATTTACAGAGAGAAGGCAGACAGCGAGAAAGCTCTTCTGTCTGATGGTTGTTCCCAAGCACCACAACATCCAGAGCTGAGTCAATTGGTAGCCAGGAGCCAGGAGCTTCCCCCGGTCTTCCACGTGGGTGTGATGAATCAAGATTTTTTTTTTAACTTTTATTGCAAATCAGATAGACAAAGAGGAAGATCTTCCATCCGATGATTCACTTCCCAAGCAGCCACAACGGCTGGTGCGGTGCTAATCTGAAGCCAGGATCCAGGAACTTCTTCCAGGTCTCCCACATAGGTGCAGGGTCCCAAGTCCTTGGGCTGTCCTCAACTGCTTTCCCAGGCCACAAGCAGGGGACTGGATGGGAAGTGGAGCTGCCAGGATCAGAACTGGCACCTATATGGGATCCCAGCATGTTTGAGGTGAGGACTTTAGCCACTAGGCCACAGTGTCAGGCCCGAATGAAAATTTTTTTGCGGGGACATGCTTGACTGCTTTCCCAGGCCGCAAGCAGAGAGCTGGATAGGAAGTGGAACAGCTGCAACACGAACCAGTGCCCATATGGGATCCTGGGGGATGCAAGGCAGTACTTTAGCTACTATATTACTGTACCAGGCCCAGGCCTGGTTATTTTTAGTTCATCTGGTTTCAAATGTCTGAATGAAATTTGTAAAAAATCAGTTTTGAATGGAATAAAGTGTAAACTCAGCATTCCAAGAATAAGCTGAGGAATAGGCATTTGATCCAAAGATTAGAATGTCTCTTGCGATGGTAGTGTCCTGTGTTAGAGAGCTGGCAGTTGAGTCACAACTCTGCTTCTGTTGCTATGCTGTGTGGACCCTGAGAGGCAGCAGGTGGCAGCTCCCTGACTCCCACATACCTGAGCTCCTGACTTCTGTGTTCAGTATGACCTAGCATGGATGTTGTGGGTATTTAAGAAGTCAACTAGCAGCTAGAAGAAACCTTTATCTCTTTTCTTCCTCTCTACTTTTCAAATCCCAAAAAATAAACTATGGTAGATTATAATTCCCCTCAATTTGTTCCACAAAGATAAAGTTTGACAAAAGTTGGTGTTTGCAACAAAACTGATACACCCAGATATTTATTTATTTACTTATTCTTTTCTTTTTTTTTTTTTTTTGCTTTTTAAGATTCATTTTGAATTTTATGGTATAATTCCATAGGGTCTGGGATTTCCCTATCTCCTCCCCAAATCCCCCCATGACTGATTTTCCCTATATTATTACAATAGTATAGTCCCTTTCATAAGCAGTCATAAGTCCATTAGTCTCTTATGTAAGTGTGCCCCAACATTGCTGGTACAGACAATGTCAGACAGTCCAGCATCCCATTGTCTAGATGTGTCCAGCAGTTTCATTGGGAATCCATCTTTGATTTGGAAGTAGAGATGCATATTGCATTGTATCTTCACATCTGAATATGATAGTCTCTATTATGCCATCAGTATACATTCCCTTACCTGAGAAGCCAAAAAACAAAGTCAACAACAGGTATGAAGTTAAAACAAAAAATTTATAGCACCATGGGGTAAAAAAATGTGCAACTGAATAACCAATGCATGGATGATGAAATGAAAAAAACCAAACACAAAAGCCTCTTGGATAAAATGATGCCACTGTGCAATCCATGAGCCAGTGACGAATTTGACAAGAGAAAAGAAATTATTTGGAAGAAATGAAAATAAAAACAAAAGCATCAAAACACATGGGATGCAGCAAAACAGTATGGAAAGGGTTATTGATCTTACAATTTGCATGAAGGCTGCCTTGTATCAGAGAACATATGGTATTTGTCCTTTGGGGATTGGTTTATTTCACTGAGCTTAATGATTTCTAATTGGAACCATGTAGTTGCAAATGGTATGATTTCATTTTTTAAATGGTTGAGTAATATTCCATAGAGTAGATGTACCACAGTTCTTTAACCACTCCTGTTTGGATGGGTATGTGAGTTGTTTCCATGTCTGCATTGTAGATTGTGTTGCTGTAAATATAGGATTACAGATCCCCTTCTCATATGCGGTTTTATTTTACTCTGCATATATTCCTAGGGGTGGAGTACCCAGACATTTCTTTCTCTTCTTCTTTTTTTTTTAAAAAATTTTAGTTCTTGTGTAAGGAAGAACATGTCCTATTTGACTTCCATGTCCTACCTATTTTGACTTATTTCACTTTAAAAATAATAAGCTGAAAGTTTGTTGAGTAACTGGAGGACTGAATAGTACTAGAAACAAGTCATTTCAGAGACGAAGAATAGTGATATCTTTTAATAACAGCTTTGGTGAGGTGTGGTTGACTTTAAGTGTTATACTTTAATTACAGCCTTCTTGAGGTATATTGTTATAAAATGCACATATTTAAAGTCTACAATTTAAAAATAATGGCAAGGATGTGAAGTGATGGATATGTTGGTTAGCTTGGTCTGATCATTCTGTAATGGAAGCATGTATCAAAACATCACATTGCATTTGTCATTGAACAAAGTGTACCCTTCGATAACGTCATGCATGTCTACAGGTGATGCTCATACGGCACCTGTTGCCTCCTTGTAGTCACTCTCTACCATCGACTTCTCCCAACTCTGTGCTCTCAGGCAGCTGTCGTTCCACTTTCATTATTACCTTCGAGAGTCTTATATAAACAAAATCACAGTATGTCAGAAAATACTTTTGAAAGCTTAATGTGAAAGAAAACTCAAATGTTTTCAAAGATTTAATATGAAAGGCCAATTTAGAGAGAGAAACAGAGAGGTCTTTTCTCCACGAATTGATTCTCCAAACGGTCACAGTGGCCAGGGCTGGGCCAGGCTGAAGCCAGGAGCCAAGAACTTCTGCTGTATGTCTCACATGATTTACAGGAACTCCAGCACTGCTTTCTCAGGTGCAATATCAGGAATTTGGAGGAGCATCTGGACAGGAACTGGCATCTATATGGGATTCCAGAGCTATTGGCCATAGCTTAACCCACTATACCACAATGCTGGCCCCAGCAAATACAAATATCTTGACTTAAATGTAGAAATTAAATGCAGCATTTAAAAAAATGTTAATGCTTTTCAAAGTGTCAAGATATTGTTACATGCACATAGCAAGATGTTTGGATAAAGCAAAAAAAAAAAAAAAATATTTGATGGAAAAGCAGCTTCTCTTTCATCTTAGATCCCCAATCATTAAGACCTCTTCTTAGAAGATGACCAGAATTATAAATTTCTTATATATCCTGGAAATAGTTTATGGATAAAGAAGAATATAAACTCATCAAGAAATTAAAACGTGGATGAGCCTGGCGCCATGGCCTAGCGGCCAAAGTCCTCTCCTTTCACATGTCAGAATCCCATATGGGCAGCAGTTCTAATCCTGGCAGCCCCGGTTCCCGTCCACCTCCCTGCTGTGGCCTGGGAAAGCAGTCGAGGATGTCCCAAAGCTTTGGGACCCTGCACCCACGAGGGAGACCTGGAAGAAGTTCCTGGCTCCTGGCTTTGGAATGGCGCAGCTCCGTGCATTGCAGTCACTTGGAAATTTCTGCCACCATCGGATGGACGATGGTCCTTTCTGTCTCTCCTCCTCTCTGCATATCTGACTTTTTCGTAGAATGGTGGAATTTGATCTTGTTTTCTAAGAGTACATAGAATACATCTCTTTCATAGCTGCTGACTCCCCTGGATGGATTTATTTATGTAGATCTCTTCATGGACGATAAAATTATTCCTCTCCACCTCACCGCATCTCTTTGCAATTTGGCTAATACAACCATGCTATAGTGAAAACCTTTTTACATATGCCTTGAGCACTTATGCAAATATATATGTCAGCTAAATTCCTAGCGATGATATAATTAGCTTCATTAATTCCTTTATTATTTTGGGGGGCTGAGGGAGGGCCGGAAAGGCAATGTTGCAACTCAAAAGAGAAGAAGAGATAGATAGATCTTCCTCTACTGTTTCACTCCCCAAATGGCTTGAATGGCCAGAGCTGAGCTGGCCTGAAGCCTGGAGTTTCTTCGAGGTCTCCCATGTGGGTACAAGGACCCAAGCACTTGGCCCATATTCTGTTGCTTTCCAGGCCATTATCAGGAAGCTGAATCAAAAGTAGAACAACTGGGACTCAAATCTGTACCCACAGAGGATGCTGGGGTTGCTGGTGGAAGCTTAACAATGCCAAGACACTGCGCTCATCAACTAATTCCTTTTAAAATAAAGCAAATTTTCTTCTACCTTGTAACTACTTCTACTTCGACCACCACTGTATGACATGCCCCCAAATTCTTCACCCCCTAATCAATCTGTGTATTATCAGACTTTTCAGTCCTTGCCCATCCAAGTATTAATGTCTGGAAGTCCTTCACATTTCTTTATTAATAATACATTTGAATGTATTTCCTTGGCTTATGAACCATTGATACTTTTGCAATTATTTTCCTATTTACAAAGCAATTTGCTATCTGTCATTTCCGTGCTGCCTGAAGTTTTTGATTAAGCCTTGGAATGCTGCCCCATAGTCATGCTCATCAAGACTTGAGGAGCAGAGACAAAGTAAGCTGGGTTTCTTTGAAGAAACCTCAGGATTCCCAGGGAGTCTTCAGAAAGCTGTGTTACAACCTTCATGATCATATACACAACACTCTCTCTGTGGTTTGTGGAACTGATTTAGATAGTGTTATGTTCAGGTTGAAAGTAATAGTAGGTTTTCTGCTTTCCCCCATAAACTCTGAAATTTAGTTAAAGGCAAGCATTTAACCCAGCGGATAAAATATCCATAATCCCGTGTTGGAGTAACTTAGTTTGATTCTTGACTCTGGCTCATAACTCCAGCTCCTGTTAATGCAGACCTGGGGAAACAGCAGTGATGGCTCAGGTAATTGGGTTTCTGCTACCTATGTGGGAGATCTGCATTGCGTTCTTTGTTCCTGGCTTGAGCCTACCCCAGTCTCAGCTACTATGGACATTTGGAAAGTGAGCCACCAGATGGGAATTCTCCCTCTCTGTCTCTCTGGCTTTCCAGATACATTTAAAAAAAAAATTCAATGAGAATTATAGCGGAAATGAAATACCTTTGTGAGAGCCAAAGCCAAAGAAGTACCATTAGAAAATCAGCTTTTCCAGATCCTATGGAAATTTGTTTCTTGTCTACTAATGAAACAATTCCATGTTAGAGAGAGAAAGAGAAAAAAAATGGAGAATGAATAAAAGCTTAAGTGGTAGGAGTAGCAGTAGCATTCCTGTCAAAGCTATGATGATTTATTTAAAAGATTTTATTAAGTACTGTGAGTTGAAACAGCTTAGCTGGAATAATAACTTGCTCAATTGTTTAGAAGCATTACTTTCAGGCAATTTTCCATCAAGCTGATGAAGTGAACACTGCTTTGTCTGTGAAGTATGCTTGGGACCCAGCCTTGTCCTAAGGCCTGCAGGCGCTTGTGAATCTGTAATATTTCTGATTGACAGGTGTAGTGGCGTGGAGCACTTTATTTTGGAAATTATTGGGCGCCTCCCTGACATGGAGATGGTGATCAATGTACGAGATTATCCTCAGGTTCCTAAATGGATGGAGCCTGCTATCCCAGTCTTCTCCTTTAGTAAGGTAAGTATAAGAAGATCCACAGGGGGAGGGTGGAAGGTAGTCCTCTGGGATACAGGTGGGAACCCTTTTTCTGCAAAGAGGCATTTATATATAGATAGTATCACTTGTAATCCATACAAGTGCTTTAACTTTCAAGTCAGCTGCTATAGATGTAGTGAATTTCAAGTCTCAAGTATGGTTGCCTTTGCAGGCCAGACAAAATGATTTCACAGGCCAGGAAATCATTATCCCATGGTGAGGATGAGGTCAAAGATCTGGAATGGGTCTGTGTGTTGGTTAGCTTCAGAGTGAAGATACCGAATCAAAGACCCATGAGTGGTGTGTCTGTAGGAATGGGGTGGAGGTCAAGAAGTGAGAGGCCTAAGGAAACTTCAAGACCCTGTAGGTAGGGCTTTGAGATCTTACAAAACTCGAGTTGCGAGCTCCAAGAAAGTTTACAGCCAAGGAGATGGGACATACCTTTCTTTAAAACTGTTTGTTGAGCTCATGCAACGGATGTCTCTGCCAGTGTGCCAAGTGTCATCTTTGTGATCTGTCAACATGTCCCTGGGACCAGTATGATAAAGAGTGAACAAGAAAGTGCGAGGGAGCTCTGGATGGTTTGGCTTCAAGCAGTGCATCCAGGGGATTGCCATGGGACAGACTCTCAGAATCTGGGTCTCATTGGGAAGGATGCACCTATAATGTGGAGAATTTGGTATAGTATGTATATTGTCAGAGATCATTTTAAGGCAGAATGTATTGACACAAAAAGGCATTTGAGGGACAGAAGTGAGGAAGCTAGTGTAAAGTGGATGGAAGATTCTATGGGGAAGAGTAGACTTAAAAAAAAAACCCGTGAACTTTGAAAAAAGGAACTTCATCTCTCATTTGGTTTTTCCAAAACAGAGGGACTTTTTAATCTCCACGTTTTGATAACAGTTTACCTTCTCTCTAGACTTATTTCCTGTGTTGCAAGTGGGCTGAGACCACATTTGGGTTGTGTTTCCCTTGTTTTTAAAAAATGCTTGGTCCCATTGTTTGTTATGAAATTCTCCTAGGAGGTAAGATAGGTTCCTGTGTATGTCGTGAGGACTTGGCATTTGTTATTTACCTGACATTTCTGTAAATTATCCCTTATGACCTTCAGCGTACTAGCTTTCCTTTCTTCTTCTTCTTTTAATATTTGTTTATTTTCATTGGAAAGGCAGATTTACAGAGAGAGGAGAGACAAAGATCTTCCATATATTGGTTCACTCCCCAAAGGGCCGTAATGGCTGGAGCTGAGCCAACCAGGAACTGGGAGCTTCCTCCATGTCTCCTATATGGGTACAGGGTCCGAAGCACTTTGACCATCATCCACTGCTTTCCAAGGCCACAAGCATGGTGCTGAATGGGACATGCAGCAGCCAGGGTATGAATTGGTGCCCATATAGGATGCTGGTGCTTGAAGGTGGAGGATTTGCCAGTTGAACCATTGCAACAGCCCTTCCCTTTCCTCTTTACTTCCCTCATGTTGTTAAATCAGTAACTCTTGTTACCAGGCAAGGGGTTTAGTCCCTCAGGTAGTTGGACAGCTTATTGAACAGCTGTTGTGCTTCAGGTGCTGATGAGTCAGGCGTCATGTTTCAAGTATTTGGGAGAAGATGAATAGTATGTCGTGCATGTGATTTCAGTGGAAGAAGCAGTAGAAGTGAAAGCTTATCAATGGCTGTATGTTTAATAGGAGTAGCCCAGCAAGGAAGTTGTTGGCTTCCAACTTTCTTCAAAGGATGTGTGATAAAGCTGCTTTCCCCATTTTACCATTGAGCATGTCTGACCCTCATCAATGAGTAACCGAGAACTTGCCAACAATTGTGGATTTAATAGTGCCGTGGTGTTAGGTAACATCCACTAACATTTACTGAAGACTTGTGTGTCCCAGACATGTTCAAAGCTTTTCACATGTGTTAACAAATTTCATACTTGAAAGAATTCCTGTTACTAACTATTGTTATTATTTCCTCCATTAAAATGACAAGGGAACTGAGGAATAGAAAGATTAGGTGATATACCTAGAGTTGTAGAGATGGAGTCAATGTTCAAACTCCTGGGATCTGTCTCTGTGTTTCCTCATTCTTGTTCTCTGAAGGTCCACTAGGAAATCTCCAAGAACTGGTGAGACAGTGTAAACTCCAAGGGGAATGGCAGCAAAATATGACAGGGCTATGGGATGATACAGAATTGGGTATACTGTTTCCTTAAACCAAACACTTGGACAGGTGTATCCTCTAGTCAAAACAGTTTAGGGGAGCTGAAAAAGTCAACCTTTAACATGGTTTTATATTCTAGGCTCGGCGCCGTAGCCTAGTGCCTAAAAGTCCTCGCCTTGCATGCACTGGGATCCCATATGGGTGCAGGTTCTAATCACCACAGCTCCACTTCCCATCCAGCTTCCTGCTTGTGGCCTGGGAAAACAGTTGAGGACAGCCCAAAGCCTTGGGACCCTGTACCTGCATGGGAGACCTGGAAGAAGCTCCAGGCTCCTGGCTTCAGATTGGCTCAGCTCCGGCAGTTGCAGTCACTTGGGGAGTGAATCATCGGATGGAAGGTCTTTCTCTCTGTCTCTCCTCCTCTCTGTATATCTGCCTTTTCAATAAAAATAAATAAATCTTCTAAAACAAACTAACAAAACCCATATTTTTATATTCTGAGACATGGTGATTCTATATGTTTTAGCCCATGATCTCTCTTGCCTTTTCGTGTTTAGAATCTAGACTGAAGAACAGGCAAAATGTGTCTGGCACTGTGACACTAGAACAAGACCTTGGTCTTGGGGTAAATGCTGTCCTGTTGCTCCCTCTGTTGTGAGACTGATTTTAAACGACCTTTCTGTTCTGTCGAAGACATCCGAATACCACGATATCATGTATCCTGCTTGGACGTTCTGGGAAGGGGGACCTGCTGTTTGGCCTATTTATCCCACAGGCCTTGGACGATGGGACCTCTTTAGAGAAGACCTGATAAAGTAAGTCCTTTAGAGAGTTTTTCTTTTGCCCTCTCTGTGTGTTTTCTTAAAATAAGCAGTAGGTAGTAACCAGTTACTTGCTTTAAAAGAGCTAAGTTTTAAAAATTAGACTGTTGATAGCGTAAGCTATTTTGTGTGTGTTGTCGGAATGCATCCAACAAGATAAGCTGGGGTGACAGATGGCAAGGATGGGAAGCTGTTGAGAGGAGGTTCAGGATGAGGCGGTGAAGGGCCTCTTGCCCAGGATACAAGCTGTACCCCGTGAGTCCTTGGAGGTGTTTTTGTGCTCTTCTTGATGATAGGTGAACATCTGTGCTCTGTCTTGTCAGCTCACCAAGGGCAGACAGTACTCCTTATCTATTCCCTATTTCAATAGTGCTTTGATCAAGGCACCTTGTTAACTTTCCTTGAACTCCCTGCTTACAGACATGACCAAAGTCTGAGTTGTGTTTCAACTATCTGCTAAATGTGTGAGAACTGGAACTCTGGAAATAAACTTTGTCAGTTGCCCAAGAGAGCACTGTCCCTCCATTTCTTTTAGGTTGTTCTCCTCCACAAGGACGTGCAAGGTAAACTTGCAATACACATATAATAATGTTTACATAACTGTAGAAAAGAGGAGAAAAAACTATGGGAGTGAAGGAGGAGAACTTTTGTTTTCTTCTTTTTCTGTGACATTCTTTGAGTAAGATTGAATCATTTTCAAGCTAAGAAAAAAAATGAAGGATCATGTTGTGCAGGAGAGGAAATTTCTTGGAAGAACGTAATAGTAGCTGATGGTTAAGAGCTGAGTCCCTGGGATGGGGGTGGAGGGCGTGACTCTCCCAGAGGTGTCTCCAGTATAACATGATTCCAGATCCTCTCTGATTCATGCCGGAGACGTGCCTGGGCCTGTTGACTCCTTCCTGCTGTGTTAGGATTTAGATTTTCTGGTACATCCAAGCTGTAGGTTTTGTTTCTCTAGTTGTATAGTACATTAACGATTCAAGTGGTTTTGGTGCTTAATTAAGGAACTTCTTAGAAACACGGAGGTCTTAGCTTTCAGGATGCAATTGCTGCTTCTTATTTTATTTTCAGCTTTTTTGGTATGCCTTTATGTAGCTCAGTGCAGTGTTTCTATATGTACATAGTATGAGCCAACAAGCCAGGTGGTTAGGTTTCCATTTCTCTGTCTCTCACCAGCTCCTCCCTTGCTGTTCCATGTTTTTGTTATATAGTGTTGTACAGTTGGGCCAGTTGAAGGTAGGGGAACTGGAACTCAATCTGAGTCTGCCATACGGATGGCAAGGAGCCTAGTACTCGAGCTGCCTGTCATCTGCTGCCTCCCCGTGTGTGCATTTTCAGGAAGCTAAAAGTGAAAGCAGAGCTGGAACCTGAACCCAGGCTCTCCAAAATGGGATGTGGGCATCCCAAGCAGTGTCCGGTGCTGCATCAAACACCGATCCCAAGAACTAGTGAATGTTTGATTGCGTTTTGGTACCTGCTATCTAACCCTCCTTTGCCTGTCCCAGTTTTCGAATGTATTAATAGTTAGTATTCCAAATTTAGATCAATGCTTTCTTTTTTAACTACCACAAATGAGAGAGAACATGCAGTATTTGTCTTTCTTTGTCTGGCTTGTTTCATATAATGATCTCTACTTCCATCCATTTTGCTGCAAATGTCAGAATTTTGTTTTTATGGCTGAATAGTATTTCATTGTGCATATATACCATGTTTTCCTTTATCCCTCTGTTGATGAACATCTAGGTGGATTCCATATGTGGATAGTGCTGCAATGAACCTGGAAGTGCCAGCATCTCTTAGATATACTGATTGCATTTCCTTCAGATACACATACAAGTGAGATAGTTAGTTAGTAATGGTAGATATCTTGTGTTTTTGAGGAACCTCCATACTGTTCTTCATATTTGCATTCCCACAAGCAGTGTAGAATAGTTCTTTTTTTTCCACATCCTTGATACTGTTTGTTATTTGTCTCTTTCTAATAGCTATTCTGACTGAGGTGAGATAGACACCTCATTTTGCAGTTGATTTATGTTTATCTGTTGGTTTTTTAAAATATTCTCCTTTTTTATTTATTTTTATTATTATTTTATGATACAGTTCCATAGGCTCCTGGTATTTCCCTTATCCCAGCCCCAATTCCCCCCAACCTAGTTCCTCTATATCATTACTAAAGTATAGTTCTTCAATTTTTAGGCTTTATTTATTTTTATTGCAAAGGCAGATATACAGAGAGGAGGAGAGACAGAGAGGAAGATCTTCTGTCCGATGATTCACTCCCCAAGTGACCGCAACGGCCGGTGCTGTGCCATTCCAAAGCCAGGAGCCAGGAACTTCTTCCAGGTATCCCACATGAGTGCAGGGTCCCAACGCTTTGGGCCGTCTTTGATTGCTTTCCCAGACCATAAGCAGGAAGCTGGATGGGGAGTGGAGCTGCGAGGATTAGAACCTGCGCCTATATGGGATCCCAGTGCTTTCAAGGCCAGGACTTTAGCCGCTGTTCCATGGTGTAGGGCCCTATCTGTTGGCTTTTGATATTGGATGATTTTCTCCTGTACTGGTCATTTTTATTTTTTCTGAGAAATGTATATCAAAATCCTTCCCCATTTTTTTTTTCTTTTAATATTTATTTAGTTACTGAAAGTCAAAGTTGTTGGTTCACTCCCCAGATAACCACAACAGTCTGGGCTGATACCAGCAGCCAGAAGCTTTATCCAGCTCTCCCATCTGTGTGTAAGTGTCCAAGCACTCAGGCCATCCTCCATTGCTTTCTCAGACATTAGCAGGGAACTGGACTGGAAGTGGAGCAGCTGGGAATTGAACCTCTGCCCATATGGGATGCTGACATTGCAAACAGCAGCTTAACTTGTATACCACAGTGCCAGATCTGCTACTTAAAAATTTTTGATTAAGTTGCTAACATTTAAAAATGACAAAATATCACCTGACAATATCAACTTGCAGATTCTTAAAACGAAATCAGATGCTCTGACTATGCTGGGCTGGGAATTGGCTCCTAACTGGTTGTTGTCAGATTTTCCCTCAGTCTCTTTAGTTCTGTTACCTCTCTGAACCCTGGCAACACTTGAGTCTGTGCTCCCTCTTCTTACAGTGCAGGAAAGGTATACTCTCCCATTTCTTAACTGGCTTGTTTGTTTTTTCTTATTTCTTATATAATTTGGGTATTAATCTTTTGTCGGGTGAATAGTTTGCAAACATGTTCTTCCATTCTCTCGGCTGTCTCCTCACTTTGGTGATTCTTTTGCCTGCAGAAGCTCCTTACCTTAATATAATCTCATTGCTCTATTTTTACTTCTGTTCTTATGTTTTTGGGATTGCATCCAAAAATTTTTGCCTATGCAGTATTGCTCTTATAGTTTCTTGCAGTATTGCTCTTATAGTTTCTTTTAGTAGTTTCATGACTCTGGATATTAGAGTTTGAGTTGTTCTTGGTCTACATTGAGGTTAGGAGCTTTTTCTGTGTCTCCCACATGGGTGCATGAGTCCAGGCCTGTGGGCCATCTTCTGCTGTTTTCCCAGGCACATTAGCAGAGATTTGGATTGGAAGTGGAGCAGCCAGGCTCAAATCAGCATTTCAGATAGTGGTTTAATGTAGTATGCCACAATGCCAGCCTCTCCATTAGAATTTTGTATAATGGGGTCCAGCATGATGGCTCAAAAATCATCCCCTTGCAAGCCCCAGAATCTCATATGGGTGCCAGTTCTTGTCCTGGTTGCTCCACTTCCCATCCAAATCCCTGCTTGTGGCCTAGGAAGGCAATGGATGATGACCCAAAGCCTTGAATTCCTGTACCTGTATGGGAGACCCAGACAAAGCTCCTGGCTCCTGACTTTGGATTCGCTCAGCTCTGGCCATTGCAGCCACTTGAGAAGTAAACTAGCAGATGGAAGATCTTTCTCTCTCTTCTCTGTAAATCTGCCTTTCCAATAAAAATCAATAAATCTAAAAAAGAAAAAAGAATTTTGTATAATGACTATGTGTTATTTTTCCACTAAAAACAAACAAACAAAAAAATTCCAGTGCTGTGGTTTATATTTTGGTAGGAGGGAGGAAGTGTGGGGGGAATAAAAGATAATTTTGACGTTGGACTAAAGATCCAGAAAAGGTAACCCAGTGAGGGAGAGATGATGAGTTGGGTTAGCTGAGAAGTGTGAAGGCTCAGAAAATACTGAACAGTGCTTTCAGCTGAACGACGTAAGTACCATGTGTATCTGAAAAGGCTCATACTAAGTTGTTCATATCCTAATTTTCTCCGTAAAATACCCCACCAAAGCCTCCTTAACTGTGGTTTAGGCTTCTCTTCCTTTTTCAGAGAAAGACAACCCACAGACTTTTTATGCAGTGAGTATTCCTATAAAGAAAATAAAGAAGTATGTATCTCTGGAGATGGCATTGTTACACAGGGGAATAAGCCACACTTATTCCTCCAGAGCATCCCTTTTAGAATGCTGGTTGGAGTCCTAGCTGTTCTGCTTCTGATCCTGCTCTCTGCTAATGTGCCTGAGAAGACACACGTGGGAGACCTGGAAGAATCTCTTCAGCCTGGTGTAGCCCTGCCCATTGTAATCATCTAGAGTCTGAAACAATGAGTGAAAGATCTCCCCCTCTCTCTCTCAAATCGTTCAGAAAATAAATAGGTCTCTGTTAAACAAGTATCAGAGGCTGTTATTCTTAAATGAGATCAAGTTTCCAACCTCTTAAGGCCATTAAATCATGGCTAAGGAATTCAAAGTCTTAGGTGAGTTTGGGGCCTAATCATATTCAAACCATAGCACAGAGAAATAAATTTATCACATCCAAAAAATGAAATCAGAGTGGTTTCCTTTTCATTCCATTTCTGTTATTTGGGGTAATTCTCTCCACATATTAATCTTATTCATAGCCCTCTGCAGAAACTAGGGCAGAATTTCTCATGGTGCCAAAATAAACAATACCAAATGTGTCATCCTTGGTTTAGAAATTTTTCTTTCAGGATTGTTAACTTACTGACAAGGTGCATTAGGCAACTTTTTGTCACCACACTGAAATACCTGAGATATTCATACAAAAAAGATTTTGAAGCTTCAGGTCCAAGGTCCAGTGGCTCCAATAGCATTGACCTCTAATAGGAATGCTTAGGAAGGAAGGAGCATGTGGGAAGCTAGGATACAAAGACAGAAATTTGGGCCCAAACTCTGGTTTTTACAACTCTCACAGGAGACCTACTTTTCCTGATGACCTGTGAACCTCTCATTAATTCCTACCCGTTAAACATAATTGTGTTAAGTTTCCAAGCTCTTAGTAACATTCACTCAGGGTTTTGAAGTTTAAAGGCCTTTGTGATTATGAGGTCCAAAACATTTTCAAGCCATAGTTTGGAAAAATAGATTTTTAGATAATATTGGCTACCACCTCCAAGCCATGGACTGATAACAAAAGAGAACATATTGTCATACAGAAATTTTCAAAGAATTCCTGGGTTTCTTTTTTCTTTTTCCATGAAAGGTAGAGAGAAAGAGAAAAGTAGAGAGTTTCTCTCTGCTGGGTCACTTTGCAATTGGCTAGAATTTGAGCCATCACGCTGCTCCCAGGATGTGCATCATCAGGAAGGTTGACTGGGAGTAGAGGAGCCAGGACTGAGGCCAAGACCCCCAAAATGGGGTGTGAGTTTCCAGGGCAATCTTTAGAAATGGTTAAAACGCTTCCTTATATAGTGAAAAAAAAAAAAAAAGAGAGAGAGGGAGAGAGAAACTAATCAAAATCTGTATATTTTAGGTCAGCAGCACAGTGGCCATGGAATAAGAAAAATTCTACAGCATATTTCCGAGGATCAAGGTGATTCTATTGTTTTTCTTTCTTTTTTTTTTTTTTTTGCATTTTACAAAGATAATCTTCCAATTAATGTGCAAAGTACACCTAATCTTGCATGTGTGATAAACTGTAGCTCAGAGAAGCTGAGATAATTAAGAAATACACGTGGAATCAGAGTCTTACACTAGAGAAGAATCCAGATTATTTTCACACATCACTCTTAATTGAACTGAAATTGAAAGAGGTAAGGTTCATTTGGTTAGATATTTGCAGAGTGTCAGAACAGGGTTCAACATTGATTATCTCAGGCTGACAGAGCAAGTGAATGACTTCTTGTTACAGAAGCCTCCGGTAAACTGATGGTCCTACCGTGGTCAGCCTCCTGACTAATGCTAAGTCTCACCAAATCTTCTGATTGCTGTTTCCATCAGACCATGTAGCTGCAAAATGGTAATTAAGAGGATTAAGAGCAGAGACCAGGCCTGGTGCGGTGCTGCTAAATTCCTTGCTTGCATGTGCTGGGATCCCATATGGACACTGGTTCTAATCCTGGAGGCCTCACTTCCCATCCAGCTCCCTGCTTGTGGCCTGGGAAAGCAGTTGAGGACAGCCCAAAGCCTTGGGATCTGTGTGGGAGACCCAGAGGAGGCTCCAAACTCCTGGCTTCGGATTGGTTCAGCACCGGCCTTTGCGGCCACTTACAGAGTGAATCAATGGACAGAAGATCTTCTTCTCTGTCTCTCCTCCTCTCTGTATATCTAACTTTGCAATAAAATTAAAAAAAAAAAAAGAGCAGAGACTGAGGCTGGTGTAAATGGACAGGGAAGGAGGGAAGGAAGAGAAGAAGAAAGTGAAAAAGTAATGGAAGGACTCTGCATAGGTTGTTCAGGTTATCTACCTGGGTGCCAGGACCAAGTAGATAAGCCACACATTGAAAGCACTTTAAGCAGTGTGTGTAAAGTGAAATTAAAAGATAACTTTGTTCTGCTGCAAAATGTTTGAAATTGTGTATATGAGGGCCATCAAAAAGTTTGTGATAAGACTGTGCACAGATTTCAAACTATTTTGCACCAGAATAAGTATATCTTTTAGTTCAGTTTCTCCAAGAGTTCTTTTTAGGTCCCCTTATATTAGGAACACACGAATAGAGATAGATCATGTTTTGTGGTGAATCCTGGTCAGAGCTCATAGCTTCTGTCCACCCTCCAGTGGACAGACTGCTGCCGAGCCAACATTAGTGTTCCTTTACCAACGTGTTTCTTCGGTTGAGGTCTTAGGTTCTTAACTTGGGGCCCACCTCTGGAGTTTGAGGACCTCCTTCACATGATATGAGTCTATGTGCTTGCTTTACCAGGGTGTGGGAAGGGCACTGATTCACAGTTCTGATTTGATTCTCAGCGGATTTAGGGACTCTCACCTATCAAGTCAAGACCCTCCAATAGCTGGGCCAGCAGGAGGGCTTTCATTCGTGTATAGTCTTCAGGTTTTTAAACCTATTCATTTTTTAAATTTTGTTTTTAAATTTAAATGTTAACCTGGATTCTATTGAGCATTTGCCACAGAGTTCATGTAATTATTTTGATGAATGGTGACTACCTAGTCACCCAGCTGTTCAGTACCAGTGACCACAGAGGTGACATAAACCTTCCTAAAAAAGAAATTATTCCTTGAAAAATGGCTCTTGGGGCCAGAATGACACACTCTAATTATTAAAGTTCAAGTATAAAACACGAAGAGTGTCCTTTAGCCCTTGAACCTTTTTACCCTAATTAACTATGTAAAGATTGTCAAAAATATAATAAAAAAAGAAAAAAAACACGAAGGATGAAACTCACCAATTCATGAAGGGAAAAGTGGGGAACAGTCTTGGGCCATCTCTGTGCCACTGTACCATTTGCTCCTCCTCCACTGTCACGACAGCCAGTGACTTAGGCTTCTGTGCGCTCCGTCTGGGCAGTGGGTTTGGTTCTAGTGCTGCTTACCCTTGAGAGATTGGAAACAGTGTTAAGGAATAAGCCACATAATTTTATGTTCTGTGTTTCTTCTACAGGACAAGTCCAGAACGAGATCCTCTCATCCTTCTATCTCGGAAAAATCCAAAACTTGTTGATGCAGAGTATACCAAAAATCAGGCCTGGAAATCTATGAAAGTAATCAACAATCATCCGAATAGAACTACAGCAGTGAACATTCTCACTCAAAGGACTTTGCCAACTGGCTAGAATTTGTGACTAGGTTTCCTCTCAGTGGTGAGATGAGTATAGAGAAAGTTCCATGAACTGGTGTTAGCATTCATGTAAATTCTTTTTTTAGTCTCACATTGTTTTTTCTGGTTATGTTATGAATAATATATTATACTCCTCTGATAGTTTCACCCATCACCCAGAGGACCCAAACATCTGTAAATGCCAGACAGTGGATATTTTATTTTAGACTATGGAGGTCTGTGATCATTGTGATTAATCAGCTCTGCTGTTTGAATAGCAAAACAGTCATAGACAGCATGTGGCCAAATGACCGTGGATGTATCCCCCCTATTCTTTTTTAAGATTTATTTGAAAAGCAGAGTTGCAGAAAGAGGGGAATAAACATGGTGAGAGAGATTTTTTTACCCAGTGGTTCA